TCTAATCCTATCTTTTTGATATCTTTCTTTGCAGGTGTGCCTGAAAGCAGTGAGTTTGTGCCACATGAGTTAATTCCCAGATATCCACTGGAATCTGCATGTTCCCCTTAGGTTCCTCTCATCTCTTCCCAACTGCCATGGATTGATATGTCAGAAAGGGCTGATGTCCCTGTTCTTGGCAGGGTCCAAGACCACAGCACCAACAAAGAAAGGAGCTTTTGGGAAGGTGAGAAATACCAAAGGAGTGGCTCTACTTGTTTGAATGATCCACTCCACTTTGTAGCTTTCTTTACATCTTAACTCTAATAAATATCCACTGCCTCATTCTAGTCAGATTTCCCCACAAAACTAAATGTTTGTGTTACCAGGCCAAATAAATCTTATTCAGCTTGTTCAGCTTGTACCTCCCCAGTGCTTACTTGCTCTGAACATGTATCTCACAGCCCTCAACAGCTCCCGAAGGACAGATGGCAGAAAGCGCTTCCTTGGTTAGAAAAGTCATTTTCCCACCCTTCCTGATAGCATTTTCTCTATATATTGTATAGCAAATTACTTTTATATATATATATATATATATATATATAAATATATATATAAAAGTTATATATATGTGACTGTGGCCTAATCTGACATGTCTTGCTATAGAGCAATCCATCTCTTTGTAATATGGTAAGCCAGGGAAACTCAGGATTGCAGCTTTTTGGCAAATTACCTTCCCCTGGAAATCATTTTTTCTATCACAGTGTTTTGACACATCAGCCCTGATTTGCCACAGTACAGCTATCATCACAAATACTGGAAAAAATTGACATTTCATCCTATTGGTCCACCTGAAGGCACCTTGATAAATTTCTGCTAAACTGGAAAATCTGTGCTAGTGATCTGAAAGCCCAGTATGCCAAGGTGGTGAATCCACACATAAATGTGATAAAAGCTGAAGCAACTCTAAAATTCACTTAATGTTTCTAACACACACACACAGTATCATTAAAACTAGGAGACCAGACACAGTATCACTGTTCAATGAGCACAGAATTATTTAATTTATGTGTTTCAAAAGCATTATTTTTTCAGTCAGGTATTCCATATCTCCTGTTGTCCCATCTTCAACACCTATAAATTACAAAAGGAGAAAAGCAAACAATCAAGCAATCAAAACCCACACTTTATCTGCAATCTGTTGCTTAAAAATTGTACTGGTAATATTTGGATGCCACATCTTCCATCTTGTCTAATTTTGTCTTGCTGTAAAAAAAAAATAATTAAAAAAATAATAAAATTTGTCTCTTACAAAGTTTGACTTCACAGAGAATGGGGAGCCACTTTGTGGATCTGTCCTGGTTTCAGTTAGGACAGAGTTAATTTTCTTCCTAGTTGCTGGTAGAATCCCAGAAGGACCCAGCTGGAATTTTGGAAATTCAACCATAACACAAACCACAGAGATGCTATCACTGCAGAACTGAAGCTGCTGTTTCTGTGAAAGAAGTCTGGCTAGCTGTGTAAAGAGGGAAAAAAAAAAAAAATAAAAATAAAAAAAAAATGGAGAGAGAGAGAAAGATTAGAGAAAGATTAGATAAATTAAGAAAAAGCTGCAGGTTTGCATAGAATGGGTTTAAAAGTTTGATATTACATGATGTTCATGCTAGCTTCTACCACCTACAGGGAATCTGGGTGAGTGCACAGGTTACCTTAAGACATTCTAAAGTATTGCTGGTTCTCTTAGTAGGCTACATTCAGTCCAATCTGCCTATGTTAAACCTTGCCTCAATGCCAGTCAGACAATTTTATTTCTGTTGCTTATAATACAAGGCTTACTTCATTTCTGACTCTACCTAACAGGCATTCTTCTGTCATGCAAGATCTAATGTTTCCTGAGTGGTCTTTTTTTTTGTGCTTTATAGTGAAAAAGGGCAGGGAGAAAGGGAGGTCACTGTGCAATGTCAATTAATCTGTGACCTCCTCACTGCAAAATACAACACAGAATGTCTATGAATCTTGCATTTTCCTGACAAGCACAGCTTGACAAGGACAGCACAGATTGTACCTTAAGTAAACCTAATTTCATTAGCACTCTTCCTTGACTAGCCCAGTCCTGCGTTTTTCTGCAGCTAGATGCAATGACAGGTGCCACCAGTTCAGCAGTCAGATGCTTTACCAAGTGAACTTGCTGTCACATCCTTCACCTACAGAAACAGAGTGCTTATGCCCAGACAATAAACACACCCCTGAAATATACTGTCAGAAGAAGTAAGTCCGTCCTTCCTCCCTCTTTTGACTTTTTCACCTTGACCCAAACAATGGCTCACAGAGCATTCCCACTGCTCAGTCACTTCCATCATGAGCCTTAGTCATACCAACATATGCATTTCAAGAGGAGAATCCAGATACTCTCAGCTAATGATGCCAAATACTCTAAGCTACTTTATGTAAAATGCACCTCTTACTTCATCCATTTCCTGTGCACTGAAAGAAAAGAGGTAGAAAAGTATGGTACATACTGTAACAGCTGTGTCCTTTGCAAAAGGACATTCCACCTACCTCTGTGACTGTCTGGTGTGTTTTAGACAGGAGTCAGAGACATGACAAAATCCTCTCAGAGTCTACTTTCTCATCTTTCAAAGCTATAGACTCCATTTCCAAACCTGCCATTTCCCTCATCCTCCAGAAACCCACCAGTATGCTCAGTCCATTTGCAGACTTTCATTTCCTTAAAGTAATAAGCAGAAATATTATAGATGCTTTTACAAGCATTTTTTACCTCATGATTTCAAAATCTGAGATTCATTTTTCAAAGCCTTGTAAAAATTCCTATTTCCAGGTAAGATGATGTGACATGCTTTATGGAAGCATCATGAATTTGTCTGGGATAGTTAATTTTCCTTGTTGAGGCTTATACAATGTTGTCTTTTGGGTTTTAGTTGAAAATAGTGGTGATAACACACAGATGATTTTAGTTGTTGTAGAGCAGTGTTTACACAGAGCCAATAATTTTATGCTTCTTCTTCTGCCCTGCCAGCAAGAAGGCTGAAAGTGCACAAGAAGTTTGGAGAAGATACAGCCAGGAGAGGTGACCCAGACTGACCAAGGGACATCCCATCCCATACAGAGTCATGTTCAGCAATAAAGGATGAAGTATAAAAAGAGGATGTTTGGAGAGGTGGTGTTTGTCTTCCCAATAAACTCTTAAGCTTGATGAGCCCTGTTTTCCTGGGAGTGGCTGAACATCTGCCTGCCAATGGGAAGTAGTGAATGAATTCTTAGCTTGTCTTTGCTTGCATACACAGCTTTTATTTTACCTAGTAAGCTGTCTTTGTCTCAACCCGTGAGTTCTCACATTTTTACCTTTCAATTGTCTCCCCAGTCCTACGCGGGGACAGTGAGCAAGTGGCTCTGTGGTACTTAGCAGCCTGCAAGGGCTAAACCACAACAGCAAGGGAACAGATGAGTAGCTTTCAATGGCACACCTCAGACCTTAAAAACAGAGAATACTAGGAAGAGCCCTTGAGTCCCTGATTTAGAAGTTCATTATTTATTTATTTATTTATTTATTTATTTATTCATTTATTTATTGAGGTGCCTCAGGTGTTGAAAGCTGAATGTACATCAGGCCTACACTTTAAGGGACGAGGGCCTCTCTACTGTTTTGAAGGAAGAATGAATGGACTGTATATCATTGTTGTAACAAACAACTTCAATTCTTGGAATATAAGATCTTTAAAGTCCATTCTGGACACAAAGCATCTTGCTGATTGTGACTGTAATTTGATTTCTTTTCTTGCTGCATGAACATTCTTCTTCAAGCAGTTGACCTTTGTGCACAAGCCCTTTGAAATAACCTTCTCCATGTAGCATGTTGTCTTCTTTCTGAAACAAGTGTAAGAAAAATGTTGTATCCCTCATTTCCACATACACATCCCTACCTAGGAGTTTTCACATGGTATCTAGATATATGATATGAGATCTCATCCTCCCTGGCACCAGAAAGAACAGGTTAAAGGCAATCACATGGATATACTTTCAAATTTTCTCTTTGAAAAGATCATTCTTTTCATTCTTCAATGATCTTACACAGCTAGTTTCTGAAAGATAATCTTCAAGTAGTGGCATAATACACACTTTTTTCACGGTATGTTGTTGTCAAAACCGTAGTACCAAAGACTTTATCTATCTGTACCAATATGGAATACTGTCATGGGCCCTGAAAAAAGTCAGTAAATACTGAGACAAAATCCATTTTCTAAATTCCCTTATTCTACATCTTTGTTCTTCTAGGCATCCTTTTGTTTCTCTCCTGTAAGTCTTTTCCAGAACTGGCATACATGGATAAGTGCACAATTTACTTATAAGCTGCAAGTATAATTCTATCCTCCATGAATGAAGCAGTGTTTTCCCTGGGCTCTCAGCAAAAATGCTGTTTCAGAGGCCACATATGAGCATGATGGGTCCCATCCTTCACATTCCTTGATATTGAAAACAAGTTACAAGCTGCTATTCTCTCAGTTTTGACAGTAAAGTGATATGGTTTGTTTACTGTTCCACAGCCTCCAGCCATGGAAGCTCACATCTCAATAGATAAGGAACATCACCTTCCACATGGTAATAGAATAGGACCATGCATTATTACACCAATCTATTCTCGCAAGTATAGTAACAGCAGTGAAAGAAAAAAATAAATTCCTAGAGTGCTATATATACATAAATAAATACAACTATATATAGGAGAAAGTGAACCAGAGACTGGGTTTTTAACAGCAGGAGGATGACTCTCCCATGAACATTCATTTCAGGTTCTCTGGCCTCTATACACTGCTGAGACATGGTTTTCAGAGACTTTTCTCCTTTTCTCCTTTCTCTTCTTAACTTCTTAGAAGGCTTTTAGAGCAATCTTCCTGACCACCCTGGCTGCTAAACCCAGAAGCCATCTTCTGGAAAATTACATTACATTTTCTTATAGTATTTAAAAAAAAAAAAAAAAAAAAAAAAAAAAAAAACCACTCAATTTGAAACTTTTCAGTGTGTTGCAATGGCTTTCATGGTTCATTGTTCAATGCAGTTGTATAGCACAGTCAATCCAACAACAAAAACTCACAGCACTTTTTAAATTTAATTCATTCTCCCTGTCATTTCTTATAGCTTTTTAGACTACTAATTAATAATAATACAAGACAGTAGTACAAAACTTCTCACCAAAAACACAGGAAAAACAACATGCTTTTACTTCATGTTCAGACTCTGCACCCTTCCTTCCCCTTGTGAATTCAAGGCATTTGAAGTTTACTGACCCTGTTAACACAACTCTGTTGGGAGCCACACTTTAAAACTGAAAATATCTAACTGCATATATTGATTCAACAGCCTACTGTTGTTCTGGAAAACCAAATTGCCTTTGGGAAAAAACTAACCTTGTTGTTGCATACTGACAAAGAAAAATCTCACTGGTTAAGGTTAGTGCAGGCTCTGTCATCCTCCTATAACAGGGAAAGTTAATGATTTCTGATTTGGAAATAGGAAATAAAATAAACTGACAGGGAACAAAAGAAGCTAAATGACAGTCAGAGAAGAACTGAACAAGAGTAGTCCGGGATGAAAATAATGAAAAATGAGCATGAAGTGGGAAGAAAAGAAAATGGGGAAGATTTAAAGTGAGTTGTAGAGAGGACTGAAATAAATATTGCAAAAAGGCTCATTTAGACCCTGGCCAAAAAATAAAAATAAAAAATCGAACTCTTTCACTGGGAACTGCATGGCAATGGAGTTTGGACTTTGCAGAGACTGATCATCAACAAACATCTGAGAAACTCTGCTGCTAGACACAAGCCTCCAAAAAGAGCAAGTGTTGCAGACAATGCAGCCAGATTCTCCTCTGCGTATGCTGTTTCATGTTGGCAGGTCTGTGAAGTTTTCTCTTCTGCATTCTCTTTAGAGAAAAGGAATAAACTGGGAAATTCATCAGAACATAGAAAGGGTCATTGTCAAGTTAGAATTAGCATTACTGCCCACCTTGCTCTCAAGGCCCCAGTTCTTCCTCATGTTTTCTCTCATGTTGTATCTCACATATCTATCTACAGGTGCTTGCCAAAGCACTCAGTAACTATTTCCACCATAATAATCTACACTCCAACAAAGCTGATCTGGAGAAATGGCAGTTACAGAGTACTGGTTATAGCATTGTTCCACTGGTTCAATTAGGAAGACAAGAAAAGAAAAAAGAAAAAAGAAAAAAAAAGTAAAAGCTTTTTACTGTTACTGAAAGATAAAAATTAATAAACAAACAAACAAACAAAAAAGAACAAAACAAAACAAAGCAATAAACAAAGTAAATACAAAAGAAATCAAACAGAATTTTTCCGGAACCAAGAAATGCTAATGTCAAATGGAAAGTGCATGTTCAAGAGCCAGTGTTGACTCCTAGTGCTGTGATTCTGCCTTTGAAGTACCTTTGGGCTGATAATGAAACTGCTCTCAGCAGGAAAAAGAAAAAAAAACACCAGAATTTCTCTAAGAAGTGAAGAAGCTTTCTACTATCAGTCTGGTAGAGCCTGTGGCAAGCTGGATACAAGGCAGAATGAAAGTCTATTATGTTTTCTTTGTGAGAGGCTCCTTGCTGATACTTCAAAGACAAGAGTTGACACGACTTTCTCCCCAAGATCATAGATGTCTTCCCAGCAATTCTCCCCACAAACACACACACTGAGAATGCACATCACTGCCTTCATTCTGAAAAATCCTGAGGAAACAGAGAGAACAATTTCTGTTAAATGCCCTGCATATGGCCTGTGCAATTTCTGGCCAACTACAACAGATAGGTGAACCAACCACCACCAAGATAACAAGCTACATTTGAGTAGCCATTTGTTCCTGGTGAAAGCAATGTGGTCTGATGTTTATTGAGGATCAGTCGTTGCGGAGGATTGGCAGTATAGTGGGAAAGAAAACTAATTAAAATTTATGAACTAGGAACAGAATAGCTGAAGCCAAGGAAGGGGATCAAGTGGGAAAACAATTTTTGTCCACCAATGGGGGATCTGCAGAAGCAAAGGGAGAAGCAAACTCACAAATCCAACAAAGAATGGAAACATACATACCAGGAACAGGGTGTCCCTTCATGTGTGCCTTTCAGATGGACTCCTCAGTTCCCATTCTTATGAAAGGTCATTACAATAAGCGCCACATCTTCAATAGCATTTTCTGTCTTTTCTGCAAGGTGGAAAATTCTTCCCATGTACTCCAGTAAAAAAGACAAACACTGATCTCATAAAATCATTCATGCTTGGAAGCTTTGCTTTTGTGGCATTTTCCATTCCATTTCATATTTATTTTCAGCCCCAGCAGTCAGTTCATAAAAAAAAAGAAAGTACAGAGAAGTATGAATGACATAGAAGCAAGAAAAGAAGCCATCAAAAACATGAAGAAAGAAAATCAGTGGCTAGTTATCACTGTGTTGAGGTTTCACTTCAGTGCCAGATGTAGACTAATTTAAAATAGGAGGGAATATCTTGATTTTTAGTCTGTGATGCTCTGACATAGGGAAGAAGCACCTTTGTTTTCTGGAGGAGCTACCCCAGCATAGACAGTACTTCCACATGCTTGAAGAACAGCACACAAAGACGTCCTCTCTATACAAAGAACACACAGCATGGCTTCATCCTAGTGCCTGCAGCTATCTGTAACTCCGTGTGCAGTCATTCCCCTTTCTCCCTCTTTTCCAGGTGTCACTGTATGCAGGCTTAGAGCTATCTACAGTAAGATCTGAGCAACCATTCATTGGTTTGTTTTCCCTCTTAGCCCATAAGAGAAAAGTCATAGAAAACTGAAGACAAGAATTGGAGCACCTTCATGAAGAGTGCACAAAATAGCAGGAGGAAACTAGACAACTAATCATAACTTCCACCTTTACCTTTTTCATTGACACTATCTTTCCTATAAATCTTTTATTTATTTATTTATTTTGAAAAGGGTCTTCACACCTAAATATCTCTCCCTATATTTCCTCATTGGTATGAGTGCCAATTGACATGCAGTTAACTCTGGGTCTCACTAATTATTCAGAACAATACAATATTGAGGAAAAACAAACAAACAAACAACAATATACTTAAATGATACATACAGTTTCTATGGAAAGTGCTTGTGTTGTAAAATATTTTACTCATAGCTGCCCTCTGTAGCAGATCAAGAGCCTTCTAATTTCCACTTCTGATTCTCACTGTTTATGTTGACCAGGGCTTTGATTCCCAGGTTGGCAATATTACTAATATTACTAATTGTAAGTCAGGCTCACAGCTGCAAGTACCAAACATTGTGAAGATTAACAGTTAAACATTTCAGCTTCTGACAATGTCTCCTCTCTCAAGATTCAGTGTAGCTCAACACATTAATACTTATGAATTACTACATTCTTCTGTTAATACTCATGGGTGCTGTTCGTCTTTCTGTAACGGTCATCTCAGTGCTGGTTGAGTAGTGTCAGGCATTTGCACTAAATACCTTGCTGTACTAATTGGTGTACCCTGATGAGGGGATACAGGCATAATTCTGTAAAGCTGTGTGACAAACACTTGAAGGAGGATGGCTACCATATCCTGTTAAAGACATCAAATATCAAGGCAAAAGATGAACGCTGAGAATGAGAAAATAAATCATTTTAAATATAACAACTATTACATATTTTATAATTTTGTCTTTGGCCTAATGAAGTCAGGCCTGAAGTCAATATTCAAAATTATATCAGCAGTTGCTTCTTCTTTTTAAGTAAACATCTGTATTAAGACAAATAAATAATGGTTATTGCAGCATACAGCAGGCAATAATCCAGCTCAGTCAGTACTACTATTATTCAATCTTTATAAAATCTCTCAAAAGCACGTATCTTTAGGTAAGCTTGATCCATTCTGAAAACAATAACCATGGACCAAGTCTGATTTAGACAACTATGTAAGATGATTTTGGTACTTTTGCTATGGACTTTGATGCCTTAAATAAGGAATGCACAGTGTTCCATCAGCAAAATAGTCTTCTGCGTGAAAGTTTCTTTGCTTCCATGATCTGCTATTTACCTCACCTCTGGAGACATGATCCTGTTAGGAGAGTCTGGCATGTGGAAAAAAGCTGACACTGCCTAAAAACATTAACAGAAAAGACAGTTATATACAGCAATAGCCAGACATGACAAAGACAAAAAACATTTTATTGTGTACTTGGATGGAAAAGATTTTTTTTCTGTGGACCACAATTTCATTCCCTGCAGGAAAGAAAGTGAAAATGTCACTGTAAGTTATAACTGAAGTGACAGCTTTAGTTAAACCATAGGCCATGTATTAGCAGGATTGAAAAATACATATAATACAAATATAAACTACAAATTCTAAATACTGACATAGTAATATGTAACATATGTAGCATAAGGTGCCCATATGTAATAACGACACTCAGGAATTTTCTTCTAAGATGATGAATATTACACAAATTTGTACAGCAACAAAGAGGAGGTACCTTTTCAAGCAGTCCAAGAACTGAAAAGAGATTTCCTTCATGTCTCTGACTCATTGCCACTGCTTTGAATATACAGTGAGTCTATATATATCTAATGAGTATAGGACAGAGGAGTCACTGAAGTCTGTGGCTTGCAGATTTGACAGCAGATGCTTGGAAAAAAGCAGAACTCTCATAATTAAGGAAGTTTAATGTTCCTCAAGTCAGAAAGATGTACCCTTAAAATATTATCAGGCCAAATTACTCCTCAAACTTCAGAAATATGACCATCCCTTGTGTGAACTGCCATGTTTTGACACAGTATTCCTCCAGTTGCTTTCTGCTGAAAGTTGAGGTGACCACTTTGAACATGACTAGATCTCCAAAGACTATTACAGAGGGAAGACCTCTGGATTTTAGGGACCATTATGAATAATTGCTTTTATATTGTACACATATTAATTTTCTGGGAAGTCATAAAGAACTGTAAAATTTCTTAACCATGTATATAGAGGGAAATACATAATTCAAAATCCACAGTGTATAAATAAAGCAATAAAAATTTTGGAAGGATACCAGTTAGCTGATTGTTACAATATACATAATCTTTTACTATGTCTGTACTTCCCTAAGGACTCCCTTCTGTCCAAGTGGAGCAGCACAGTTTGACTTCATAGAGTTAAAATCCCCTTCTGCCTGATGAGAATAGACCTTGCCTGAACTAGCACCAAATTGTGCCTAGTCATTTTCTGGAGGAGTTCTAGTCAACACAGCCTAAATCATACCTGGGATCATGATAAAAATTCAATGGTATGGATTACCACACAATAGTGCTTGTTTGTCACCACTACTTAGGTATTCTACTGAACATGTACACCTCAAGGACAAATAGCAAATAGAAAAATTGTTTTGTTTTATTTTTCCAGAGTTTCTTCCTGTCCAGTGTTAACACAGGAGAACTACTGTTTTTTTGTGACTTCTGTCCTCCATCAGTCTGCACAAGGCAGTCGTATGCATGTTTTTCAGACACAAGATACTGCAGCCTGTGTCACGACTAGGGTGAAGGAAAACAGCTCAGATTATGTTCTAGAATTTTCATGGCACAATTCACATCACAGTCAGAAGAAAATATAGTGGAAATGAATGCAGAAATTTATGTTTTATAAGAACTTTATGTTTCTGGGGGGAGGAAAAACTGAGGCGAATATGCATGCAAAGCTCTGCAGCAGGCTGGTAGCCTAGCAACACCAACAACCCAACCTTGAAAAGACTTTTATCTAATGTGCTGGTTAATACAGCAAGAAAGACACAGGGGGAAAGAGAGTGGCTGCTGTCAGCAAAGTTTTTCTGTAAATTAGCTTTGATAACATCTTTTATAGCCTAAACCTATGAAGCATGAGCACAACCTCCCACTAAGCTGGACGGAGGTTTATTAATTAACACCATACTGCTGCACTGCTGGCATAAAAGCATGAAGGAGGACTTATTTGCTGACAACTCCTTGCCCTTGGAGTGGTGCCTCTATTACTGGAACCTCCAGTCTGAAAAGAGAAACTCCCCATTTTTTATTTTTTTTTGGCAAGTAATTTCTAGTGACAGAACATTGGCTCCCAAGAATCAAACGCACAAATCTAAAGAAATTAAGCCCCTTTCCTTTCCTACCCTTCCAGATTAAGATGCACAGGAGAAACAACAGTTAGCTTAACCAACAGTTAGCTTAACAGAGATGATCTACTTGCATGCATGAGTTGAGTACGTCTTTGCTTATTCATTTATCTTCTTCCCCAGTGTCCTTCTAGCCAACTAGGGAGTTATGGACTGGAGAGACTACCAAGTGGCTGAAAATCTGGTCCCATCATCAAGCTGAAAAGGAAGCCCTCAATAGTTCAAAACCTTACTGGTAGCTGGTTATGAGCAGCATTCTTCACAGCTCATACATGTCCCTTTGAAATCACAGTGTACATATGCAGACCCCCAACATAGCTGGAGATTTGGAAATAACACAGTTTTAACAAACCACAGCATTGAGGAGGCTTCTCTTGAGGAGGAGGATTGAAAGCAGCAGAAAAGGTTAGACCCAATACGTATAGCACAGAAATCAAGAATCAGTACTATGTACTGCTTAGAGTTTTAGAGTATGTTGTAGTTCTGTGAAGTTAATAGAACAGCTTAAGGAGAAAAAAAAAAAAAAAAAAAAAAAGACCCAGATGCAGACATCTGTTAACAATAGAAGCTGACATGATACATTTATGTATTGCACAAAACGTAATCAAGATTCAATCTGGTAGGTTTTATTTCCAATGTTGTTAAGAATTCAAAGTACATTTTCATGTACATGATCATTTTACTTAAAAAACATCTGTCTTTCAGACATTTGTACTGAAATGGATGTGTTTCACACCAGATAGATTCTGTTATTGCTACTGTTCTCACCCTTTAAAAAGTATAAAAGGTCAGCCTAATAAACTGGCAGGCCACTAATGCATGTTTTGCAATGCATTTTATTCCTTATAGGAAGGGTTGTTCTTACTTTCTCTTCATTGACTACTGAACATTGCAAACCGGAGGACAAGTATATACATCCCTTTCTTACTAATGCAAGAAGATTCAGTGCTGAAATAAATACCCATTTAGAAATTTGAGTCTGAGAGATCTCATTACACTAAAGACAGCTTGAGAATCCATTTTTACAGTAACTGATAAAAACACATATCAAGAGTAGGAACAAAGAAAGGTAAGTGAAACATTTCTTAGGCCATAAGACCAAGAAACTTGAAGTTAATAGAAAAATCAAGATCATATTCTGTGTCTTTAATATGTATTGAAAATAACCAGTAATTTTGATAAACTTTCAAAAATATGAAAAAAAAAGATACAAATTTTAAACAAAGCAAAATTAATTAATAGGATCATTGGCCAATCTTATGACTCTTAGTGCTTAAAATGTTTGAAAAAGCTGTAGGCAGCAGGCTATGATGACTTCAGAAAATGAAGGAATGAGTCCAATACCTATAAAATGTCCTGTAATTTTATCAGTCTAGCTGAAGAATCAGGAACAGGAAGTATAGTATCAGTTACTGGGACATTTAGCACATATGCATATTTTTCTACATATAAAGAGAACAAAGCTATCTCCACAGGTAAAAGGGTGAAGGTGCATCAGTACTTGAGAAAAAGGGAAACCTATGCCCATGAGTCCTCCCTGGATGTTCACTGCTACCCTGAGAATTCTGGAGCAAAAGTTAATGCTCACAGGTATTATTGATATTTCAGTGACAACTGAAATTGTATGTCTTTGTGTTTGTTCATTCACCTGAAAAGACAACTGAAATAATACTGTCCTGGCTTTAGACTCATACACCTTCTTGATTCTTACCTTCCATTTGCTTTCCCTTGACCCTTTATGTTGGTATTTTACCTTCAGAAAAACCCATGGGCTTTCCATTCAGAGCTTCAGACTCCCTCAGATTTCTTCTCAAACTAAAAATCTATTCTCATCCCTCAGAGATAGCAATACAAACATGGCCAGTAAGGTTAATTGCTTTTTACAGGCACCACAGCATCAAAGAAATATTTGTCTCCCTCTTCTCAGCTTCGGCAGTTCCCTGTGAAATAAGTTCTAAACACGTGTGGAACAAAGGAAAAGCCTCCCTCTTTTCCATGTTCTGTACAATTTGTACCCTTGTTGACAATGTCGCTGTGAGCAACAGAAAAAGAAGGACCTTGATAAGAAGTATTTATTCTAAATGAAAGGAAGTAGCCTTAGGACTTCAATTATAATTTTTCAACAGAATGGATGATAGAAGCTTGGAGAGGTACAGGATGGAAAACCTCTTCTTCCTGAGCTATTCAAACAAACAGGTGGGGGGAAATGAACAGAACAGACAAAATAAACATGATGATAGTACCCCAAAATGCAGCAAGAGTCTTAATCAGGGTGGGGGCTGCAGAACTTGAGTGTTTTCATTAGAAATGAGCATGTTTATTGCTGGAGAAAAAAATGAGTTTTCACACTGACAAAGAACTAAGGTAACAATATGTACCTCAAAAACAATATGTTATGGATAAACTCTGCATGTGCTTGACTGAAATTAATAAAGTTGAGAAAAAATTCCAAGGTGACATTGTGAATCAGGAAGTGCATAATATCCAATGATTCCAGATGTCCTCCCTCATGAACATCCGGAAAGATACTCAACAGTTCAGCATGAAGACTCAGGATTTCAGCATGAAGTTTTGAAGAGTTGTTGGTGTTTAACCTTTGTTATGTTAAAGAAAATTGTATTTATGACATTAAGGTAGCATTTTCCTTGTGGCCAGAATGTTCATAGATTGAGGTTGAAACTGAAGAGTGTTATAACTACATTTGTAACTTCCTTTTATATTTCTTTGTTCCTAGCATGACTTCTTCAAAATTTCCCAGTTTTTGTGTCAGAATTCATGGCTTCTTTCTGGGATCTTTCATTTTGAATTATCTTTGAATTTCAGTTTCTATGTTTCAGACAGGTTTATTTTTCTTTACTTCTCATTTAAAAATTCTATCTGAAAAAAATATATAGATATTATATTACAGATATGTATTAATTAATCATCTAGGGAATCCAGAAGAATAATTTCACAGAATGAAAATTACCATTCCAAACAGCAGCAGGAAAACAGGCAAGAAAATTCCCTTATCCTTCAAAAGATTATCAGGAGTTCATCAATAAATCTGGGTTTTTAGGTGAATTTTTAAAGTGAATTTTGGATCAGGTAGTTATTCAAGCCCAAAATACCTTAACCAGGAGTTGAACAATTCTAAGAAAACACAATTCATAATAGCACACAATCCTCAGAAATAGTTTTTATGCTGAAGGAAACTGAGTACATACATCAGAGGAGAGGAAAGATTAGCAACCTCTTAGCATCAGAGAACTCTGACATGCCCCATTCATATCTGCTTTCCCCTCTGGGTGGAAATAAAGTTTAAATGATATTGCGTCATCTAAAGAGACTCTAATAAGAACAAACATAGATTAAAACTTCTTATTAGAAAAAAAAAAAAAAAAAAAAAAGAGGGAGGGTGAACATTACAGGAATGAATAGTAAGAGTAGGAAATGTATGAAAACAAAAATTGAAAATAAAAATTGAATAATTTAGACTGGAAGAAAAGTATAAAATGACATGTAAACATCTGATGGAAACTTATTTTCCTAATTCAGGGAGTGGCAGACAGAAGTTTGCCATACCAACGCTTCCCTTTGCTACCAATATCTAGAATATTCTGGATTACCATAACTGTACAAAACTCACTATTCAAAGAATGTGAGAATAATCAGTCATCAGCAGCAAATGTCTGTATTTACACAGAATGCAAGACAACACTACAATAATAATAATTACTAGACAATCAGGGTGAGTAGGTAATGACTGAATTTCACGTCACCAAAGGACAGAGTTACAATATATTAAAAATGAGATTAAAATGGATGTGCAAGGTCTTCCAAAAATAGCAGGAAAAAAAGATTTCAGAATATCAATGACAATTTTACAGAATTGTAAGGAACAATTAGTAGTTGTTTCTGAAGAGACAACAGGCATTTTTGGACTCGTTATAATTTTTTCTACCTTTAATACAAAGAGTATAGGAAACTAATCAGCTCAAAAAGAACTATACTTCTTTCATTTAGGAAATTAGAAAATCCCTGCATTGTGTCCATTAGTCTCTTGTAAAAAAAATCTATTATTAAATAAATAAATAAGTAAAGACAACGTCCAGAAAGGTTTAAGATCTAATTTTATGAAACTATTAAAAGTGATGTGAAATGTACCATTAGATGTGTTAATTTGATCACTGAAATAAACAAACTCCTTCTTCTAGAAAATAATAAAAAACAGTGATAATAATTGTAATATTCATAGAGCTGCCAGACAATGCATTGTATATGAGTCAATCAAAATTAAATATTTTAGCAAGAACAATGGCAATTAGATGAGATGGATACCTAGAAGCTATATAACCATTTGGCTTTGTTTGTTTCCTGAAAACAAGAAATAATATGGAAAGAGGGAAGGGACCTATTTCATATGACTTTATTAATGTGTACAGATGGATACAGAGACATAATATTTTTACATACATATAAGTATGTATTTATCTTACTAATAAAACCTATAGGCACAGTTTATTATGTCCTTTCTACGTGAATAAATTTACATGTCTAAAAAGAAAGGAGATTTCTGTAGATGCCATTTTGGGAGCAAAATTGGTTTTGGTATTAAATTCAGAACATGTTCGTTTTCCGTAAGGATCCTTGAATTTTCATACCCATTGAGGGAGCTTTCTTGGACTGGCAAGATAAAACAAGCAGCAGTGATCATATTAGATGCTGAATACTGTCTTAGACATGAAACCCCTCAGTCTCAGATACAAAGGTATAATGATCAGGGAAATGAACATAAGAAAATGTTCATTCAGATGGCGTTGTTTTTGCACTATATGATACCTGAAGGCAGTATTTCTAAATATGCAGATAATGTTCATCTCTGGATAAAAGTCAGCTAGAAAAAAATATTTACCAACAAGTGTCAACAATTCTAAGAGGGTTAAGCAGGGTTTATATGTGTATGCAATTTAAGTGGGTTTGTCCTGGTTTCAGTTAGCACAGAATTAATTTTCTTCCTAGTAGCTGGTGGAATGCTGTGTTTTGGCTTAGGATGAGAAGAGTGCTGATAACACCCCGATGCTTTAATTGTTGCAGAGCAGTGCTTATACTAAGCCAAGGACATCTCAGCCTTTTGCTCTGTCCTGCCAACGGGCAGGCTGGGGGTGCAGTAAGAGCTGGGAGGGGACAGACCCAGGACAGGTGACCCAAACTAGCCAAAGGGGTATTCCATACCATCTGACGTCATGCTAAACAATATATAGGGGTGGCTAGCCGGGGGAAGGGGGCCGGACTGCTCGGGGTTAGGCTGGGCATCGGTCAGCGAGTGGTGAGCAATTGCATTGTGCATCACTTGTTTGTACATATTATTATTATTTCCCTATTATCACCATATTATTATTATTGTTATTATTGTTATTATTATTTTGTTATTATTATTTTCCTGTCTTATTAAACTGTCTTTATCTCAACTCACGGGCTTCACTTTCCATTTCTCTCCCCCGTCCCAGAGAGGGAGGGGGGAGGGTGAGCGAACGGCTGCGTGGTGTTTAGCTGCCGGCCGGGTTAAACCACGACAGGGTTAAAAGGCATGCACTGTATTAGAGAAACAGCAAAAGCAAGGACTTCATTTTCCATAAAGAATGAATATACAACAAGGTTGAAATACTTCCAGCTGAGATAATCAAATTAAATGTTTGTGAAGGCTAGTTATGGCATTCCCAAGATCAACAAGATGTAATGTTTCTTGTATTGTCTTCCAACATCTGACCCTGCAGCGATTCCAGATTTCTCATAAATGGCCCTCCTATTCAACCATTTGTTTAAACATCCAGTTCATCATATCTCTGAGCTTCTCCTCTATGTGGTATGTTCAGGGACTCAGGTGTAAGGTTTTGCTTTGCACAGACTGTCTGACAACAACCTACTGGGTACCTTTTCCTTTGGAAAGCTGTAATAATGCTTACTTCATGCACTTTTTTTTTTAAATGTATTTCACAACTTAGATGGTCTGATATTACTTTTGAATTACATGAATTAAAAATTAATGACATGATAAAGCTGAGAGACCTGGGGTTGCTCAGCCTAAAGAAGAGAAGGCTCCGGGTTGACCTCATTGTGACTTTTCAGTAATTAAAAGGGGGTTGTAAAAAGGATGGAGAGCAACTTTTTGCTCAGTCAGATAATGACAGGACACAGGGGATGGCTTTAAATAAAAAGAGGGGAGATTTAGCTTAGTGGTTAGAGAATAATAGGGAAAGTATGAGAATTTAAGAGAACAATTTGTGGATCAAGCTTGAAACAAATTTTTAAGCTATTTCTGCAAGCAGATGAGAAGCATCTTGTGAGACATGGCAGGGAAACCCACAGACGTAAATATCATTGTAAGTAGCACAATCCTCTAACCTGCCAATGTCTAAACCTAACAGGGATTACTTTTCTGTGCACAACTACTGTCTTCAAGTGCAAAAAACATAGTGTATTTATCCCTTAAGCAAAGGACAAGGATAAAAGAAAGACAGAAGCTAACAGGTTTGGATTTGTTAGCATTAGAAAGCAGAAAGCAGCACCATTATGGTCTCTGAGCACTTGAAGAGAAACTGCCACTTAATTCATATTCTGACTGACTGACATTGGTAATCATGGCAGGAGTCACTAGTCATTTTTATAATTCTACTAAAAGCAAGAATTAGTAGTCATCATTAACTGTCTCAGACACCCAAATGGCATTCACCTACTCATCTCTCCCATTAGAAGAAAAATGGGACAAGAACTTTGTATTTCCCATGAAAAACTCAGAGGCAACGGAATGGAGAACTCTCTATTATGAACTGTTTGTTATATCAGCTGCAAAGCTTCTCTGCATTTCTGTAAAGGTATCCATTAATGAATTCAGGACCTATCTTTTGTTTCTCTCATATCTGCTAGATGCCTAAAAGATTGCTAAGGGATGAGTGTAAGTCATGTTCAGGCAGAAGGGCAAATACAGAGCTACCACAACCAGGACAGGACTTCCTAGTACACATTCATTACCACATTAATGTCAATTTTGTTTCACTTACCTTTTTGTAGAGAAAACAAACAAACAAACAAAAACAAACAAGCAAAAACATTAGAAACACAGATATTGAAACATACTTACTCAAACTGCCCCTGTCACAATTTTTCCAATGCTTGGGAGAAAGAGAAATTTTATTTGACAGACTTTGAATAGGTAATGTTATCCTTGCTCTGTTCATTTTTAAAAGATTATCATGAATAAAGTCTTCCCTTCATACAGAACTGGTTCAAACATCAAATCTATCTCACTCACTGTTCATTTCACAGCTGCTGTGAGTCTTCAAAGCATTGTGTAGTCCATTTCTTTCACAAGCACCATGATGGGAATGTTCTCAACAGAGGAATTTGTCCAGAAATTCAGGTTTTAACACTGGGAACCTCACACAAAGAAGAGAAGCTAGTTTTTTTTTTTTTTTTAAAAATCATCAGTGACCCCAGGTCCTTGTGCTAGGTTTGTATCTCTGTTCAGAAACATATTGAGTCTTTTCCCCAGACCTTTCAAAAGTCTTTCTTAGGGAGAAAATGATCTTTCTGCCCAGAGCTGTTTGTTCAAGATATATTTAGAACTAAGGCTATCTTTGTGGCAGTGACAATATCTAAGATCCTAACACCAGCTAGCCTGGCCTACTCTCTATATCAAGATTTGCTGAGTTATGCCACACAGAGGCAGCCTTTCTCCCAGTTTCAGAAGAAGGTACCAAGGTACAGAAGATGTGCACTTCTTGAAAAGTAAAGCATGTTTCTTCTCCCAAGAAACACAGCCTACGCAAACCTTACTCAAAAATTCAGCTATAGTGGCTGTAACACTTCAGAATTTTTTTCTGAAAATTGAGAAAGACAGAGCACTGCAATAGTATGTTGTATAGTTAGAATTTTCCTCTTGTCTCTTTGTTCTGGCAGAAAATAGTTGGCAGAAGAAACCACAGGACAAGAGAAATATGGTAAAATATCTGTGGATTTGCATATCCCTCTAAGTTTATAGTTTATGCTGAACACAATCTTCTTGTTTTTCCTATGTCTATACAATAGTGCTTAAACTTTTATGCTACTACATGAATTGAGAATACTGATTGCAAAGCTTTCCAAAGGTTAAATTAACAACGACAGCAAATGAAGGTAATTTCACCTGAATCTTTTTCACCTTTTCCTCTCTCTGTCTCTCTCCCTATATATATGAAAATATATATATGTATAAATATATACATGTAACACCTAAAACCTCCAAACTTTCTGACACTCAATTACTTGGAAAACAGTAAGTCATATATTTGAAAGCTTTTGTTCTTTCCAGTACTTACTGCTGTTTTACTCCAGTATAGGAAGTGTAAGATAACAAGCAGACTGCCAGTATACTGTCAGACCAAATCAGAGGAGCTTGCATCACACAAACTTGCTATTACACCTCACAGGCTGCATCTGCTACTGCAATCATTTCAGGATTTAGAAAGATAATTCTTCTGCTCATTCACAAATCGCTGGCAGACAATGCTCAACAGAATCCTTTAGGATTTACAAAATGTATACAGAACCATTTTATTGTGGCCTCAGAGCAGCAGAAGATTAGCCCTTGGGCCACATATTTTCATTAAGGATAATGCTGAAGACAGGGATATCACCCTATCAAGAGCAGTAACCAGCAGTAACATGTTTCAGATAACATGATGCCTCTCAGGGCAGACCAAGACTACGTATCTGCCTGCAGATGAATCCCTTTTAAGATGCACCATATGCTCAGTCAACTTCAGTGTTTAAGACCATGTGCAAAACACATAAAAAAAAAACAAAAAAAAAAAAACTACTTTGAACAAACACCCTTACACTGCAATAACAGAGAACAACCTGCTATACTGTCAGAAAGAGATATAATTCATCAGCCATTCACACATACATTAACATATATTGTTGTTATTGGTTCTTATGCTCTTCGTGACAGTTAAAAATAGCTAGATAGCATGGAAATTAAAATATCTTGAATTCAGAGAAAACACTGTAATTAAGACTTACCTTAAAATATCTGTCATTAAATATTTCAGTATTTCATTATTTTGCTTGAAGCCACAAATTTCACCATATTTATAATCTCTGGACAATAAATACAATTCAGATAATGGGAGCACACATCTGAAAAATAGTATATCTGCGTTTTGTTTTAGTCCCCAAAGCTAACTTTATATGTTACAGATGTTTAAAGGGAACTGAAAAGATAAAGATCCAGATTTGCTTCTGCTTCAGCAGGTATTTGAAAGCCGACAAGAAACACAGTAATAAGTAAAACGCCTCCTTCTCTCTCTGACCAAGTTATTCCCATTTGGCTTCTTTGAAAGATAAAAGAGGAAAAATTTGAAGTCTTTCACTCTAGTTGAAATAAAGAATCATCTTGAACATATTATCAAAGGTGAGCAAAGACAAGGGCTCGTTCAAACCCTATGCCTACTTATTAACACATTCATAGGCATGTCTCATTGATAGGCTTCCACCCTGAAGCTCACATTCCCTCTTTCTCCAGCATCCTCTATGCCAAGTACTTCTGCAGGCACTAACAGCTCAACATGATTTAATTACAGAATTTAATCATCAAAACATCTCTCATAATCTTTTCCCAAAAAGCCACAGTTAACACAATAAGCAACAAAAGATTGCTAGGGAAAAATAAATAATTAAATAAATAAATAAATAAATAAAACAAAAATAATAAAAAGTTAATAAATGAAACTTCTGGGCTAGATACAGTTTGTTGTGCATCACACCAGCCTTTATGTGAAGGAAGGATACTCAAGTACCAAGTTACTGGAGATAATTATGCTAAAGTTTCTGGAGAAGAGGTATTATCCACCTTCCCCTCCATCGGACCAAAGGAGAAGGCTGTCAGATCAGAGACCACTTGTGAAGGATTTTGTTTCTCTTGGTCAGCTGTCCTCATTAAAGAGGATGAGAGACAAATGTCTGGCAGGGATAGATAGACTTTTCTACCCTTTGATCTCACCCTGTCTTTGAAGATCCTGACTGCCATTAGTGGGAGCTTACTGAACACAGCATATCTTTCCAGACATATACTGTAGATTCACAGGGACCTAGCCTGGAGACACACAAATCCTGGAGAAAAAAAAAATAAATAAATAAACTCCATCAGACAGAGTATTAAAACTAATTTAAAGAAAAGAAAGGGAGCAATTAGTAATGAATTAATATTTTACAGATCACTACAGACAAATGTACTCATGATATTTCCAACTTACTAGAACTGAGAATAAGGAGGGTTGGCAAATGCTCAGTAAGCTTTTAATTATGGACAGATTCTAAAAAGAAATACAGCTTCCTTCAGACTCCTAGCTTTCAAGTTAACACACTCTTGTGTTCAACATATCAGTGCCCCAGCTTGCACTCAATACCGTAATATAAGTGTAGAGAGATAAGATTATCTGTACTGGTCCTAAAAGATGCTTGTAGAATCCATTGCAACTTTTGTGGGAGAAAAGGATAAGCTGGCAAATAGGACTCAGATGTTTAAAATACATTAAAATCCAAATATACTTTGTAATTCAAATATCTTAACTAGAAAGAAAAATTGTTGAAAACACTGATGTAAACATTCACAAGTAGATTTACATCAAGAAAGCAAATATACCCAAAGTCTGAAGGCCTGAAGTCTAAGGGAGTGTGGTAACTGCCTGGTTCCCAAAGTACCCCTTGTAAGGAACAAGATGGCCTAAATGACCATGTGAATGCAGGAAAACAGTTTGTCTTTGGTAAATATTTAAATCTGTAAATATCATATTCCTTTCCCACTCCTCCTTTTCTTCCTCTAGAAAAGCATTGTTTACTAAGCCAGATTAAGTCAGCTTGTTAAACTGAAAATTTAAATTAAATCGACATACAATTTGAATAATTACAGGCTCTGCAAAACACACAACACAACACACTTACCTGCTTAGCACTGACACTTGCTTATCATTTATCCTATAGCACAGAAGCCATGACAATGAGTCCCTATTGTGTGAAGCTAAGGAACACAAAACTTTTGATCTGTAAACATTTCCACTCAATTTCTAATCACAGTTCTGCCATATCTCGGTAGTTCACAACATTTTTCTCTCTCCATATCTCAGTAGTTCACATTGTTTCTCTCTCTCTCTCTCTCTCTCTCTCTCTCTCTTTTTAATCACTCTGTTAAAATCAGAATTTTATTTTTTGAGAGTAAGAGAATGGCTGAGGTGGGAAGTGGCCTCTGGAGGTCATCTGGTCCAACCACACGCTCAAGAAGGGATACCTGGAACAGGCTGCTCAGGACTATGTCCAAGCATCTTTGAACATCTCCAAAGAGAGAGACTCTACAGCCTCTCTGGACAACCCATATCAGTGCTCCATCACCTGCAGAAAACAGATGTACTTTCTGATATTCAGATGGAAACTCTCAGATATTCAGTCTGGGTATCATGAAAAGGTTTTCCAGCAAGAGGGTGGTCAGGCACTTGAACAGGTTCCCCAAGGAAGTGGTTGTGGTACTGAGCTTGCCAGAGTTCAAGAAACATTTGGACAACACTCTCAGACACATGATCTGAGTTTTTTGTTTGTTTCTTTTGTTTTGTTTTGTGTGGTCCTTTTGGAACCTAGGAGTTGGACTCCATGATCCTTGTAGATCCCTTCCAACTCAGATATTTTATGAATCTATGATTCTCTTGTGTGCCAGTTTGTGTCCATTGCCTCTTGACATGGCACAAAACACCCTCCTCTTCTCAGTTTGTCTTGATCTTGAAACTGAAGCAGTACATAAAGTTAGATCTGTCTTTTCGGCTGTTCAAAAGTACAGTTTGACTTTCAGAGATCAGTAATACCATAAAAAGATTAGACAGGACCATGGAGAGGGCTAGAGTGAAATATGCTGCAAGCACAAAGTTGTTGAAGACTCACAATCTACTTGAACGTGACTTTCGTACAAAATGAAGAGGAGAAACCATATTCTGTAGGTATCAGTTTCAGAGTAATTTGCCTGATTTTCATGTAGAGAAAATAAATTGAGTGAAAACATACTAAAAAAAAAAAAAAATGTGATTTTTTTTCCAATAATATAAATGACGATGAAGGTCAGTAAGACCATTTAAGCTATTTAAGCATCTCAGGTAAGAATAAAACTAGTTAGTAAGGCATATCTAATCAATACCTGCTTTCTTTTGGAGACAAGCCGCAGCACAATGTCAGTTTTTCAGGCTGTTAAGAGCTGAGTAATTTTCTTTAAAGGTTTTACACTTTACAGTCAACACTGTATATGCAAAGTATTTCTGTTTCTTTCCTCTTGGTGTTTTCCAGCCTGCTAAAGGCATACATCCCATTTATCATCCATATGACTGATAAGAAATTCATACAGGTGCTTTAACAGCTGAATCTCTCTGAGCAAGTTTTCTCCCACTTTTTAATATAAAACAGGTTAGATGACCAAACTATTTGAAATACCCTCATTTACAAGTGGCAATCCAAGAGGCAGGTCACACTAAAAGATCTGGGGTTTGTAGTAGAGTCATACTGACAGTTGACACATGAGGCATGAGGGTTATTATAGGGCTTAGAAAGTGTAAAGAGTTGTAGCTGTGCATTGACTTAATGTATTCAAAAGTAACACGTGGCCTCCATGTATGGCCCTCCCCACTCAGAGGTGAATGTGACCACTTACCTACTACACTTAGCTCAAGAATTCAGCTTGGTTCTTCTGAAATATTCCCTCTGAAAATAATTAAATAATGTTGTAGAAATACTTCTAGGTGTTTTCCTTCCTTCGTTCCTTCCTTCCTTCCCTTTCCTTTCTTTCTTCCAAACAGAGGGCATAGGTCTTCCTCCTTTGCAGTTAGGACATGAAGCAGAAAAAAGAAAATAAAAGAGGGTTGGACTACCCCAATTACAAGCTGTCCTTCCAAGAGCTAGTAGGGTTCCTACAAGGGTTCCTTAAGCACTTCTCTCCAGAGGGACAGCACAATACTTTTTTTGTGCTTTTAGCTATCAATACTTTTAACTATTCTTCTTTTTCCTATGGATCAATGAGTTTGTCTTGTGATCTCCAACTCTGGTCCATCCAAAGACCAGGAAACCTGACTGAAGTATGAGGTTCCCTGTGACCTGGAATACCTGGGTGACCTGGTGATGACACTGGTGTTTTCTCTGATTACAGTAGCTGCGTAAAAGAAAGTCAAAGTCACATGCTGCAGTGGCTCAGATGCCCAATATCTAGACAGTCTATGAAGACAGTCTTTTTCACAACCTTCCTTCCAGTTCTGTCTGCACATCTATCTAAAATTTTGCGTACATCTTTTGAAATATTTAAGGGCATGTGGAGTCTCACTACAATAATGTAAGTAAATGTCCAAATAGTAGTTGCTGGCTAAATTCACCAGCGTAAGAAAGTCACACTACCTAAACATTGCAGCCTCCAGATTAGACAGCAAGTAAATTCCAAGCAAAAGTTGTTCTTTGAGATTTACCTGGGAAAAGGAAGAGCCTTTTTCAGGAAGTCTCCCTTCTCTGGAAAAGACTCCTGTTAAGCAGTATTTTGCTTCTTGTCAAGGGCTTCTCTGAAAAAACTCCCATACTTCCAAAGAAGACAAAGACTAGAAAAGTAGAGTCATCTTAAAGAAGGAAAGCAGCAGACACAGACAGCAGGTGTGATTGGCAACAAGTGTAACAAACAGATGCAACTGGTGACAAACCTACCCAGTGGGCCTGAAAGGTATCAACTCTAATTTGCAAGAGCAATTATCAGCAGATAACATAGTCATCAAACTCAACAGTACTGCTAAAAATCTCCTAATCAGTAGCAATGTAGATATTTGAAGCTGAAATAATGCAAAATTCCAGAAACAAGCCATTATTATTTTGTGACTCAACCAGGATCTGAACCCAAAAAGAGGGAATTCATGTGTTTAACACAAATCTGTAATGAGCAATTGCCTATACCCCACCTCTTCATCCAAAACATACTTGGTTGGGTCATTAAAATCACATAGGCTTGCTCAAGACACACTGTCTATGAAATATAATGAATAGGGATACCTGGTCTTAATGGGAAGCCTAATGAAATTAAAACTATTTTAATCCACCCCTCTAAATTGTTTATCTTCAGTCACTTCCAGCTGTTACTTCTTGGACATCGCCATTCTTCCATCTGAAGCTTTTTTTTCAGTTCCAGGATATTTTAGTTTGGTTGTCCTTTTCTGCATAACATCTCTAATATTTCCACACTTTTTTATTAATTTTGTTTTTCATTTGTACAGGGAAAAAGCCATGATTCAGCTTCTTTCTTCTTGTATCCCACTAACTTCAAAAACCTCCTCCCTGGCTAAACCAAGCCTTACATTGTTCACTGTGATCAGAAACATCACTACCTTTTTCTCCTAAACTATTGCATTATCCAGACTGACACCATCTTATCATTTCTCTGTGTGCTGTTTCTTTTTCTGTCAAATATCAGTCATTTGTCTTGTCTCCCACTATAAAAAGTGGCAAAGGAAATGGGGAGCAGACAAGAATACTTTAAGTGGGAAGCAATTTGTAGGGGTTGACAGTAATAAGTACTTAAAAAGAAAGAAAAAAAAAGAAAAAAAAAAAAAAAAAAGATGAAAAACTTGAATTCATACCTTGGCAGCAAAACAAAAGCCAGGGAATTGAGCTGTAGAAGCACAGGTGTTCAGATGTTCTCCAGTCCAGGCTCAGGCAGCAGCCATGGAGCTCCCTTGAGAATTCTTCTGTTAAAGGAGGAGGAACCTTGCTTGAGATGCAGCCTTCTAGCTCTACTTTACAACTGATTTCTCTGGAGCAAGGTGGTACTACTTGAAAATCCTTCATCTTATTATATTTAGTGAACTTTAAAAATCATGGAGTATCAGCTGACATTTTGAGTTGGCAAAGAGGATTTTCGAAGTTCATCTCTACCTTCCAACTGTCTCCTGAATCCCTATTGCTGGGAGTGGTCACAAGCAAGTACATTGGCCATTCTGGCTTTCCAGAAGTTCTTCATAAATACCTGTAGACATAGCTCTTTTCCACCTAATTCCTACTAAAAAAAAAATATATATTTAAAAAAATCCCACTGTCAAAAATACTGTCAAAAGTCTTCTGCTTGTAATGACAACCAGTTATTTTCCTCTTTGCTCTGTGCTCGCCCGCCCACCAGTGTCCAATCTCTATCTGCTATGCTTTTTCTTATCATTTCCATGGGAGAGAGTATATTTTTTGTTCTGGGCTGCACAGCAGAATCACAATCCATGATAAAGGCTCAGAGGCACTATAATAATAGATAGTAAAAATAATAAATGTATTACTGGTGTATGAATCAACCAGTACGTGTTCTCACTGATATTTTGCATGCAAAGTAAAAAGCTGGTTTGAGTACAAAAGGCATTCAGATTAATCATGTCAAAAGCAAACTGGTGCTTATACAGGATCCAAAACCTTAATATATTTGACTTTGAAAAGGCTAAGTTCATTCTCTAACTATCAAAGCCTGCAGCAGCCTCTACACTGTCCCTGGGAACATATTGTAAATTTACTGTTCTGACAGATGATCGTGAAGATGAGGAAATGATCCAGAAAAGTGGCATTGATTTTGAAAAGCAGAAGAATTTGCCAGTCACTGCATGTTGCTAAGCTGAAGGGGAAAAGAAAAAAAAATCCACCTTCCATCAGCTCTCAGCATGTCACTCACAAATATCAACGAGACACGGCATTTATAGTGTTTGTGTAAAGAACGGGGAATGATTTAGACTGCATCTTTCCACTAAGAGCAATTTGGATGAGACCTTAAATACAAGGAACCTCTTCACCTGATTTCACAAAATAAGCTGTGTGATCTTTTTCTTTGGGCAACTTGTGCTTTTCAACTGTAGCCTGTGGTCCATTTGAACAAATGCAGGAAAAAGATTTTACAGAAAGGAAAAACTCTATGACCTGAGTGAGTCTGCAACATACACTGAGTGAGTCTGCAACATACACTGCAAGCAGGTGTTTTTCAGATCCTTCTCACAGATGATATGCCTTTTAGAGGATTAAATCTCAGCCCCCAGCCTGGAATTTGTTAACGAGAGTTGAAGAGGAAGAAGCAACCAGCATAAACAACTTTTATGGCAAGCTTGTGTAGGGACACCAACTAAATTGTTTATTATTTCCTCACTCAAAATATTGTGAATTTATAAGAAAACCTAGCTGATGTCTTTCACATGCTCAGTATGTTCCTAGAAAAATCTGATGTTATATACACTCACCAAATTTCAACACAGAAATTTTCCACTTGCTTTGTGTCCAGAGGAAGGAAAGAGCTGACTGCCTAGCAGGCACAAAACATTTAACCCTTTCACAGAAGAATTCCTGGATAATACATTGTAGAAAAGGCAGAGGTTTCAGGTCTTTTAGAGTCCATGTATTTATACAATTCTGCAGACAGTGCCTGAGCCCAATTAGAAATCCACTGATAATTAACAAGTATGTAAATCCACAGGTAGCAGCTGTTTCTTTTGAGATAAACCATCTCTGTACTTTATGCAAACACTTTACTGTGCTATTACCTATAATATGTACTCTGCATCATAGATTGAAGATTGAAGTTTGAAGAAACAATTAGAAGTATTAAGCTCTGAACACTGAAATAAAGGCTTCCCCGCATCTTTGTTTTTTTCCTTTTTTTTCTTTTTTTTTCCCCTCCTTTACACTTTTAACCCTTAGGTTTCCAACACAACAATTTTCCACAGACACCAAAACATCTGTAAACATTTGTTAGAGAGTGGAAAACTGAGGTACAAAATTGTCAGAAGATTCATTCATGATCCTATAACATGTCAGATGTGGAGCAGACTATTTTGGGACTGAGCAATTTATAACAATAATATTTTCAGGAGTCCTGACTTGCAGTCAAGAACCCTTTCCTTCCTACTTTCTTTCTACGGTTTCATTTTCCTTCTTTATTTGCAATATTACATTGTTTAGGGATATACTTAAAAACAGACAGCTTTTTGATCTTATATTAATAGCTTCATATTTGGATACCCTTTTTAACAGATAGGAATCTGTATTCCAAGTGTCTCTTTTAAAGTAATGGGGAGGAAGAGAACAAGAGAACACAGACTCACACAAATATTACACATTCAATTTGATCTCTGGCCAGTCTAGATTCTGACTGTAGCAGTGAATACACCTACAAAGGGAGGTAATAACACTAAAACCCAAAATACAGCACTTCAGCTTGGCAAAAACAAAGGAGTTCAAGTTCTGAAGGCAGAATTATATCAGCATGGAAGATAAAAGATTTTTTTCCTCATAAGAGGATAAAAACAAGCCACCTAAAGAAAGAGGATGACAAACCCAGAGCAAATATCATGCATTAGTAACAGATTTCAATCCTCTCTTTCTATTCCCCCAGGCACCCTGTGAATCTGCAAAAGGCATTTTGCTGTACATCTGAGATACAAGCAAGAATTGATGGCAAAGTTTTTCATAGAGCGGCACTGGATGATGTCCAGAAGAAATTGCCTCCCTCCTTTCACCTCATTTACTCTTTCTGCTGAAGCTTATCTTTAGCTGCTTTTCAGTGCTCCTTCTTGTCTCTCCATGTAGACTATACAATGCCAGTTCAGAGTCAGAGACAGAAGGAGAGGTGATGAAGCAAGTCAAAGCTATCGATTAAGTTCATTAATAAAAGTTATGTGAATCAAGAGTGAAAGATTTGGTTTTGCTTGAAAACAGGAATGGAAGAAGGGCTGAACACTCAAACCTTGTTTTTGCTGTTCAAAAAGCTAGAAAGGCTCGTGCATCAATAGAGTTAAAAAGAAAAAGTGTAAGAACCAGATGTTGTGGTATTTTTGGATGTAATCATAGATCAGGCCACAATGTTTAACAGCTCCTATTTGAAAGCTAATTTCTGAGGGAACAGAATGCATATCATGCACAAGTTTACTGGCTTTTTATTGAGTCCTGTGCAGTGCTGAAAACAAGAGCTTTTCTAAAATTGGTCTGGCTCATTCAATTTTCTTGGTTTAAATCCTCTTATTAAAGTTCACGCAGAATTACATTCTTACTGCAGAATTATACCAAAAAACCTGCAAAGGAAATCATTTAAGTATAGAGGAGGTCAATTTCCCAGTTTTCTTCCAAAGTTGGTTTTATTTTTCATAGAGATTACTACCAAGTTATTTTCTCTTAGTCACTCTGATTTTTCAAGATTTTTTTTTTTTCATGTGAGGATAATGCTTCTACTGTTACTGTTGCTTACGTTCTTTGAGATGAATGAAGCATAAAGGACATAATGTGCCTCTCACTTCACTCATGAGGAATCACAGCAAAATCACCTAGGGGATCAACTAGTAACTTTCTTGGCAACCCAGAAGAAACACTGACACATAGACACAGAAGCACTAGGAGTAGTTATGCACTTGATTTCTATTTCCTGCACATTCTACAATATCATTTCACATAGGGTCCCAAGGAGATGGTATATGAGGGAACAGTCCCTGGCTTTACTGAGAACCAGACACCTGTTTACACCTGTTACCTGTTTAGCAGTGTGCAGACTTTGAAAAAGAAGGAAAAGAAGAGTGAAAGATGAGTGTGCCCATAAAGGCAGTCAGTTCTTGATATCCCAGGACACGCTGAACACTTCCATGCAATATCACTCTTCTGTAGAAGTTCCAAACCCTTGT